TTGTTCATGAAGATTATGAACTATTAATACATGATCAAGCCAAATCACTTTTGCTGTCTGGAGCAGAGCTAGAATTACTCATGAATCATACATAATCCAGGAGACCCAGCAGACTGGGAAGATCTGATCCTTTTCTCTGTTTTTTTAGATTTTTTTTTTCTGGTACTGACTCTCTTGCTGTGGCTTGCAGGCTTAGTTGTCCTTTGGCATGTCCCCCAACCAGGGATTGAACCCACATCACCTGCACTGGAAGGCGGATTCTTAACCACTGGATCACCCGGGAAGTCCCTGGTTCTTTCTCTTTACTTTTGGCTTTAGACTAAGTCATCGTGGCCTGGTACTTCGTCTTCTCAACCTACATAATTTTAATGATCTTATTGGCCTTGAGATGAAGGGAGATGGATGGTCCCTTGGAGCTATTCTTTAACCCCTTTATAAGGCTGACCATCACCTTCACCTCTGAAAAGGCTGAGCTGATGTGGAGGAAAGTGACGGTGGCAAATAGAGCCGTTACAACTGATTAACATAGTCAACTATCCTCAGTTAACTATTGGGCAAACTTTAATTTCTATGCCAATAAATTCACTCAACTGGGCTTGAACTTGCAACGTGAAGTATATTCTGGCATAGTCTTCTTCTCAGGCCTCACAGAAACTAAGCTGGAACACTTTGAGTCCTTGTTGGGGCCCCATGAGTTACCTCATCTCCAGGGAGAGAAGTCCTAGTCGCGCCTGAAGCTGGCTACTCTGACATGAATGTGTCCACACTTAAACTCCAGTTGGGCTGCTTTCTCCAGGTATTTTGAGCTGTGAGACCTCACTGTTCCAAGGCCTGTCACCTGCCTGTCGAGTAGAAGGACGTTGGGTGGATCCTGGGGTCAGACGGACTCACTGCCTGTGGAACCAGCCCTGAGCATCTCAGATGTTGTGATAGGATGGGGGTCCCATGGACTCAGATGCTGTCCTCTCCCCCTCATGGCCAGGAGGGCCCAGAGTGAGTGACCAGGCCTGAGATGTCAGTGCCTCCACTGACCCTAGTAAGGGGTAATCATCTTACCAACGTCATTCTGTTCCCTGTAGCCCATTGGAAAGAAACTCAGGAATTTTGACTTCACTCACCCTCCCTTCCTCTCCATCATTTTTGCTGGACTGTGTGCCTAGTCACTTAGTTGTGTCCAGCTCTTTGAGACCCCATGGACTGTGGCCCTCCTGTCACATGGGGAGTCTCTAGGTAAGAATACTGGAGAGGGTTGCCATGCCCTCCTACAGGGGATCTTTCCAACCCAGGGATTGAACCCAGGTCTCCCGCATTGCAGGCAGATTCTTTCTTTTTTTTTTTTTTCATTTATTTTTATTAGCTGGAGGCTAATTACTTTACATTGTAGTGGTTTTTACCATACATTGACATGAATCAGCCATGGATTCACATGTGTTCCCCATCCTGAACCCCCCTCCCACCTCCCTCCCCATCCCATCCCTCTGGGTCATCAGTGCACCAGCCCCGAGCACTTGTCTCATGCATCCAACCTGGGCTGGCAATTTGTTTCACACTTGATAATATACATGTTTCGATGCTGTTCTCTCAGATCATCCCACCCTCGCCTTCTCCCATAGAGTCTAAAAGTCTGTTCTATACATCTGTTTCTCTTTTTCTGTCTTGCATATAGGATTATCATTACCATCTTTCTAAATTCCATATATATGCATTAGTATACTGTATTGGTATTTATCTTTCTGGCTTACTTCACTCTGTATAATGGGCTCCAGTTTTATCCATCTCATTAGAGCTGATTCAAATGTATTCTTTTTAATGGCTGAGTAACATTCCATTGTGTATATGTACCATAGCTTTTTTATCCATTCGCCTGCAGGCAGATTCTTTACCAGCTGAGCTACCAGAGAAGCCCATACTTTCCAGCAAAACGGGCCTGAAAATAGACCAGCTCATAGGAATAGGGCTTCCCAGGTAGCACTAGTGGTAAAACAAACAAACAAACAAACAGACTCCCAATGCAGGAGACATAAGAGATGTAGATTTGATCCCTGGGTTGGGAAGATCCCCTGGAGGAGGGCATGGCAACCCACTCCAGTGTTGTTGTCTGGAGAATCCCCTGAACAGGGGAGCCTGGCGGGCTAGAGTCCATGGGGTCGCAAAGAGGCAGACAAGACTGATGCAACTTAGCATGCATTCATGTGTAGGAATAAGCCACGTGAAAGACTCATCTCAGCATCTGCTCAGTGTGAGTGGGAAATGCTTTGCAGCAATTAATGGTGCATAGAGTAACCTTTTAAGAACCTTTACAGAGGCCTCTAATGCTTGGTGATTCTGTTATTATTTCTAATATTGTCTCAGTTGTTTGCTCCACACTCAGAAGGGACACATTTTCCGCCCTGCCTCCTAAGGGTTGACAGTGGGGCTCAGCAGAGACCCAGAGCAATGTCGCATCTAGGGCTGGGCATTCGGGATGAGGAGAAGGCGACACAGGCTCACTTTGCTTTCTCGGCAGACAAGCAGGTGCTCATTTTGGTGATGGAGGAAAACAAATGACCAGGGATTTCACTTCTGAGGTGGGGGGGCGTCCCTGAAAGGCCAGCCCCATAGCCTATACGGTGCCTTCCTCCCATGACGTCCAAGCCTGTTAACTTATTTCTCTGGGCCCAAGAGGCCATGGTGGGTGCTTGAGGGTAAGTATACAGAAAACGCTTTTTTTCTACTCAGTTTGCTCATCATTTGGACTTCAGGGAAATTTCCAGAATGAGACCAGCTAACCCTCAGGTTCCCATGTCCAGGGCAATCCTTCATCCTCACAGCCAGCATGCCCTAAATCTTGAGTGTTCTGCATTATAGTAATTTCCCAACTGGCTGCCTGGCAATTGTCTTATTCCAGCTCAACCCACCTGGCACTTTGCAGACAAAGCAACTTTGTAAATATGACCTCATGTGGCTTCCCACTGCCTTCAAGACAGTGCTGCTCTCCCTCATCACGGGTCCCTCATCACGGGCGCTCACCCTGCAGCCTCATCTTTCTTCTCCCCTCCACGTCCACCCACCACAGCCACTCTAGCCCCACATCCCCTGCATATGTCACATTTCCTCATGCCTCTGTGTTTTTGTAAGTACTACCTCGTATTCGGGAATGCCCTTCCTCTTGCCCCCACCAGTCCCGTCCTGCCCACCCAGGGAGCTGAGGACCACTCTTCCACACAGGCAGTGATTATATCATTACTACACTGGGCACTTGCCCAGCTCAAGTGTAACAGTCTATCTCCATGTACACACGCCCTAAACAATAACTGCCGTGAGAACCAGGGCTATTCAACAATTTCCCAGGACTTCGCAGAGCTCCCAGAACACAATGATGCTCATTCTAAGCTTGTTGAAAGGCAAATGAGGAAAAAGTACCTGTATGTCTAAGACTATTAGTAAGGAAGAGGGCGATAATGAAGAGAAGAAAATAGGATGAGCATCTTGAATTGTAGAACCAAGGGGAGTAGGATTTGGGTCAAATTCAGGCCCTATACGAAATCCCAGGGAGAACTCTTAAGAGGAAGAATTAAGCAGCATTCACGCCGTGGAAACCACGGGACAAGTAAGAGGCAAAGCATGTGATCAAAGCTGATTCCTTGGGAAATCACTGAGCTGTGAAAAAGTCCAGCGTAGATTTGTAACCTGGCACAGAAAAAAATGAATTGCTGGGAAAAGGAAAAAAGATATGCATGAGAAATCCTGAGTCTCAGCTCTACAGAGCATTTCTTGGCAATTACAGCATCTTATGTATTTAAAAAACAAAAAATAGAAAAAACACCACCAACAGCATCAAAGCTCAGAGAACCAATTACAAGTCATCCGCTCCCTGTGCTGATCTGCAGATTCATCCCACACCCGAGCTGACTTGAGGTCCTCCTTACTGGGGGATGGGGAAGGGGGCAGGAAGCATCTTTGTGCTTTATGTATATTCAAAAAAAAATTTTTTTTTTCTGATGGTTCATGACTTCATAAAGCACCCCTCCCTCGCCACCATGTTTGGAAAAACTGAAGCTAACTTAGTGAGCATACATTTTCAAAAACTGGGGCAGAGTAAGGCAAGACAAGCTAAGCCCACAACCGAAGGGCATCAGTCAGTGGGCTAACTTAAGGCCTTGTCAGAAACAGCATGCTTCCTGTCACTGTGCTTGGCTTCATTTTGTGTGCCCAACTGCAGTAAAAAGCAAACACGTTCTTCCTAAAGCTTGCCAATTGCTAAAGACAAATATTTTTGGAGCCGCTGTGCACAGCATCTGTACAACATGGTTGTTTGGAGAAGGGGTCTGCAGCTCGGTTTATCCTTAGGCTCACAGAAAGCAGAGCACAGGGAACAGGTATTGTGCATCATCAGAGGACCCATCACAGCCGACACTGAACAAACCTGGAGGATCCCAGTGGCACTTCCTTGGAATCAAGCAACATTTCATCAAATGAAAGAAAGGCATTTGGGTGCAGGTAAGCCAAGTGTCTTATTAATACTAACACACTCCACCCAGACAAGTGGAATTCACTAGCACCTTGTGCATGCGTGCTAAGGCACTTCAGTCGTGTCCGACTCTTTGCAACCCTATGGACTTAACCTACCAGGCTCTGCTCTCCATGGGATTCTCCAGACAAGAATACTGGAGTGGGTTGCCATGCCCTCCTCCAGGACTAGCACCTTACCCTCTGCCAAAATGACAGCAAAGGCAGAAAGAGGTCCGCCCTTGCAGGGGCTAAAGCTGCCAGGGACACACCACCACGAAGAGACACTCAGGGCTGGGAACCCCCAAGGGCAGCCAGGACGAAGCTCACAGCTCATCATCCACTTGCAAACAGGAGACCCACAGCATCAAGTGAGGGAGTTAAAGTCACACCTTTATAATCTGGGAGCAGAGAACAGTCCTGTCTAGATTTGAAATGGGGAAATGAAGACTAAATTTCCACCAGAATTAACTTCTTTTCCCAAAGGGGCAATATGGCATTTCTCTGCTTACCTCATGGATTGCCAGCATGAATGCAGAGACAAAAGCTCAGTTCCTTGGTCTCCGAGAAAGCAGCCAGGTCCCTGATGTGAATGAGTCCTTGCACCTTTGGTCCCAAGAGTTTGGATGGCATGGGTGAAGGGGCCCTGGGCCCTGTTAGTTTTTATGAGTCTGTGGGTCAGCTCAGACCGGCTGCCAACTCATCTGTATGCAATGGCTCTCAAAGAACACAGTTTACTTAGAACCGGATCCAGCAAGAGGAGGCGTGGTGGGTAAGAGGGCAGGATACAGCAGAGGTGTTGAGCCGCCAGGGCTAATTACAAGGGATCTGTTTATGGAACTGTGCTGGAACCAGTGTGCTGCAGCTGAGTGTCCCAGACAAACACATGCACGAAGGCTAGATGCTGCCAGGCTGGGGAGGAGCCCTTCAAAGCTTCTGCTTCATGATTCCTCTGTGGTCACAGCTCAGGCTGATCTGACTGTCCCTTGGCCATCATCTCCCACCCTAGTTCCAGTTCAGTGTAGAACTCCGTAGCCAAAGATTTACAGTAGAACCAACTGGGAAGGAAGCCCTAGAGCACCAATTTTTCACCTGGGGACAAGGCCCTAGTTTCTCTCCCGGGAGTCTACAGCGGAGAGTGAGGTCATGGAGGTGACGGACTTGGCACGCACTTGGCACTGAGTAAATGCTCCTGAAATCAACACACCCCAGGGTCTGTTTTCTTTCTTTCTTCCCATCCTACCCTTGAGGGTCATCTCACTCTGGCTCACACATCGTGTCTTACACACTCTTGTGGGTGTGATACTGGGGTCAGTGTTCCCCTTGCCCTGGTGGCCTTTGTGGGCCTTCACTCACTCCACTGCTGGTCACCACCGGAGCATCAGACAGCGGTCCCCCTAGTCACTCTGCACCCTGCACTCATGGAGTATCGGGAGGTCAGTACAGGCACCCTTCACCCTCTGGTCTCCATTCAACACCTCACAAGACAGTTGTTGCTGTTGTTCATTCACTCAGCCCTGTCCGACCCCTCTGTCCTCCACAATTCAGATGGTTGAATTTCAGTTTTAGAGCAGGAGGCCAGGGAGCCACACTGAGTCCCTGGATCAGCATGAGTCACAGAGATGCCTTTCATTCTCCCAATCAGCCTCCAGATAACTGGAAACACAAACAAACACCTCTTGCAAAGCTAAACGCTGATTCTCCAGTAGCACAGAACAAACTCAAAATGAAGAAAACAAATGGTTCCTTAAGTGCCTCATCCATTTGCAAGTCAGGTCCCTTGCAGGATGGAGCCAGAGCATCTCATTATTATGGAGAACAGGTAGCTATCTTACCTCCGTTTCCCCCTCTCTCCTTGCCCCCCATTCAGACCGGCCCCTGGGGACCAGCTGGGAATTGGAAAGAGGCTGTTGCTAGGCAACGAGGAGGGCAGAGCTGCTGCCTCTCCCAGTTCCAGGCATCTTGGTCATAATGCGCTAGGGAAGGTGAATCAGATGGAATATCACCTCTTCCATAGAACCAACATGGATCGTTTTCTCAGTCTCTCCGCCTGCCTTCACGGGGAAGTCCTGCTCCTACTCCACCACCTGCTGCTTCTCCCACCTCCGTGGTCACAGACACAGTCCTCCTGGGCCCAGTAGCCTGGGACAGTGAGCAGAGGGCCTTTCTCCCTGGCTTTACCCAGGTCCCACTTTGCTGGTGCTCACAGGAATTAACTCCTCAAACACAGCTTGGAGCCCCAACCTCCACACCTGAGTTGGGGGACCAGAGCTCATGGACTGGTTTTCTTTTCCTTTTCTTTAAAGAAATTCAGAGCATTTCAAAGATATTATTCCATTCATGACTAATATTCCAAGGGGAGCAACTTACATAAACAGTAGGTCTTTGGAGGGGCTTCCCAGGTGGCTCAGTGGGTAAAAGAATCTGCCTGCAATGTAGGAGACCCAGATTTGATCCCTGGGTTGGGAAGATCCCCTGGAGGAGGAAATGGCAACCCACTCCAGTATTCTTGCTGGGAGAATCCCATGGACAGAGGAGCTCTGCAGGTTACAGTCCACGGGGTCTCAAAGAGTCAGACATGACTGATCGACTAAACAACAGCAACAATAAACCTACAAACTGTCTCCCTTGCACATAAGGGGTAGGGGATTGCCTGTGTCCCAGGCCACTGCCTCCTACAGATGTGGCTGGCGTCCTCTGATTCAGGAAGCGCAGGAAAGGCCATTCCACAGCAAGCCAACACATCACCCCTCAGATCGGCCTCCAGCTCCTGAGTGGGGAGGACAGAGGGACTTCTGCTGGAAGGTGTTCTTTCATCTTTGTGCCTCAGTTTTGTTTTGTTTTTTTTATTTTAGAGAACGAGTGTCTGGTGAAAGAGATGGTACAATGTGAACATGTCTGCCCCAGAGAAGTAGGTAATCCCACTGAGGTGATAAAAAGGCAAAAGCACCATTACACGGGCTTCCCAAGGAAAGGTTTTGAGAAGCCTGTGTGTGAGAGATGAAGAGTTTTCCTCTGAAACACTGACTGCCTTTGAAGAGGGTAGCACATCCACTGCCCTGTCAGAAATTCCAGGTCAAGGGACATTTAAAAAAAAATAGGATGGAACAAAGGGAGAATTTTGACAATTGTTTAATTCACTAAAGGCTTGTTGAGGGCCTTTCTGTAGAATCCACAGCACCAGGCACTTGGGGAGTTACAACATGAATAAAACATGGTGCCTGCCTTCAAGAGTTTAAGACTTTATAGCGGAAAAGACATCACGGGCACAATAAGGCATAAATGCATGGGAAACATCATGAATAAATGGAAGAAGAGCTTTACTTTTAGCTGGGGGAGCCTCCAAGAGCTGGTGGTGCTTAGCAGGATGCTATTGGTGGCAGGGGGTAGGTAGGATTATACCAGGTGGTCTTGGAAGGTGGGGAGTGGTTGAAGGAGAAGTAGCTTGGAACCTGAGGAGCAAAGGTGAATTGGGGCAGGTGGGTGGGCATAACACCAGGGGTCCTTCCAAGATCTGTTGGAAGCCCAGAGGGAAGGGCCCACTGCACCCCCTCATTCGACGTGGCAGCAACACTGGCCTGAGGTTTTCTAGGATTTCAGTCCAGTGTCCTGGACATTTTGTTCCAGATTCTCAGTTGCTCACACCTGTGGCCATAAAATCAGAAGTCAAGACAAATGAGTTCACACGATCCCAGCCAGTCACCCCTGTGTTTGTTGAATGCCTGGGGAGGCGGGGAGGGCTGCCCAGGGAGCAGATGCCCCTCAAGCCAGGACTTGGCAGGCACTTTCTCCCAGGCTCTCACATTTATGAGGGTCAGCTTCTTGCCTCAGGCACGCAAGCCCTGGCTCTGGAAACTGCCAACTTCTGCACTGATGCAGCACAGGTGCCCTGGCCAGTCCAGCGACCTTGAAGTTGATGCCTTTGTGGCCACATTGGCAGATGTGACAATCATTTCCTACCATGGGGTGACCAGCCCTGCACCTCATTGCTCAAAGATCCACCCACGACCCATGCCCTGGGACAGTTGTCAGAACCTGTCGTGCCTACAGGACAAACCATGAAGCCCAAACTCTCCCAGCACATTAAGAACTTGGATTTCACTCACCAACATTGTTTTTCTTTTCTTTGTGCTACGCAGCCTGTGGGATTTTAGTTCCCCCAGCAGGGATTGACCTTGGGGCAGAAAATGGCAATCCACTCCAGTGTTCTTGCCTGGAGAAACCCATGGACAGAGGAGCCTGGGGTCCAAAGGGTCGCAAAGAGTCAGACATGAATGAGCTACTTAGTACGCACGCACCAGGGATTGAAACCAGGCCCTCGGCAGTGAAAGCGCAGAGTCCTAACCACTAGACAGCCAGGGAAGTGTTCAAAAATGTGGATTCCAAAAAGCAGGTGGCATTGGCCTTCCAGCCTGGGTCCCTGCAGTCTCTCAGCCTCACAGCGACTTTGGGTGCTAGGTCATGAGGATTGTATTCAGGAGGACGAAACGTGCCTTAGAATAAGAGCCTCAAGTTCAGGGTGCAGCCTCAGAGAGCTCAGGTAGTAGGAAAAACACTGAACTTGGAATCAGAAAATCTGGGTTTGAGCTTGTCTGTCACCTTGGGGTGGTTACATAACCTTGCGGAGTTTCAGCCTCCTCATCTGAAAAAGAGACAAATTGCACTCACCTTACAAGTAGAAGTGCCTTGTTATTGCTAAGTGCTGTATAAACACTACTTACTATTTCATCATTATGCGTAATACTAAAATCAAATAGAACCTGAAACTAGGAATCCTGGTTTAGTTCTAAGTCCTGCACCAGTGAATGCACAGCAGAGGTCACGTCATGCTCCCCACACTGTGAGGCATGAATAGAGACAGTTGTCCCTGGTGGTCCGGGGTTGGGGGGCTTCAGGGGCTGTGGGAGTGGAGATGCTTGGTGGCTGGGGTGCTCTTCAGAGAACAGAGAGCACAGATAGGGCCTGACCTAGGCTTGGGAACAATTGTGTACCATGAACGCTGATGCATGGTTAGTTCAGTTCAGTTCAGTCGCTTAGTTGTGGCCGACTCTTTGTGATCCCACGGACAGCAGCACTTCAGGCTTCCCTGTCCATCACCAACTCCCAGAGCTTACTCAAACTCATGTCCATCAAGTCGGTGATGCCATCCAACCATCTCATCCTTTGTCGTCCCCTTCTCTTCCCACCTTCAATCTTTCCCAGCACCAGGGTCTTTTCCAACAAGTCAGTTCTTCACATCAGGTGACCAAAGTATTGGAATTTCAGCATCAGCATCAGTCCTTCCAATGAATATTGAGGATTGATTTCCTTTAGGTTGGACTGGTTGGATCTCCTTGCAGTCCAAGGGACTCTCAAGAGTCTTCTCCAACACCACAGTTCAAAAGTATCAATTCTTC